ATACAACCTTGTCATTCAATTGTAAAGGTTCAGTGCTTACTCATGGGAGCCATGAGGGGTCAGAGAGGGCAGAGGGCTGGAATTTCTGGAATGGCCTACATCCTGTTCTTTTCTTGCATTGCAGTACTATAATCAAGAATGGACATTGTGGGATCGCTTTGAAGTACAAGGGCTTCAGCCTAATGGCGAGGAGATGACCCTCAAACAGTTCCTCGATTACTTTAAGGTAAGGCCTTTTCTCCCTCTCATCCCACCTGGAGGAAGGGCTGTATAAATGATTTTTTGACCTTCCCACCATCATAACACTGCTCCTTCTCCCTCCTGCTCTCTCCAGACAGAGCACAAATTAGAGATCACCATGCTGTCCCAGGGTGTATCCATGCTCTATTCTTTTTTCATGCCAGCTGCTAAGCTCAAGGAACGGTTGGATCAGCCGTGAGTAGTCCATTTTTCAGGCAGGCTGGGAAGGGCCCTCCCTGTGTTCCTTTGTTGGGTGGGGAGCTTGGAGCTCTTCCCCTTTTACCCATCACCTCTCCTCCCTCCCTTCTTCTCTTGCTTTGTCTTCTTGGCCCTCTGTCCTTACCCTCATCCCTTTCCCTAGGATGACAGAGATTGTTAGTCGTGTATCAAAGAGGAAGCTGGGCCGCCACGTACGGGCACTGGTGCTTGAGTTGTGCTGCAACGACGAGAGTGGCGAGGACGTCGAGGTCCCCTATGTACGATACACCATTCGCTGATCTCTGTGCATTCTCCTAAGCACCAGTCCCTCCCCAGATTCCTTCCAGTGCTGGTTCCCATTTGGCTTCTGACAATTGTCCATCTAGCCAAGTCTGGTATTCTGTTACCACCCAGCAACCCCAGACCCTCTCACCACTGCTTTGTACCTTGTTTGGAACTTAAATCCCAATAAAAAAGATAACAACCTAGATATAGTCATCCTGGCTGTCTCCAGGGAAGGAAGGAGCATCCTGGCGTTGTCTGGTTCAAATAGTAGCCCAATAGGCTACCCCAGCTATAGGTTTCCTGGGCAGAGAATAATGAGAATTGATATCTCTTATCTACTCTATATAACAGACATGGAGGTACCAGTGAAGTTACATAAATAGGTACCCAGGTCCGGTCTGTCTGATTTGAGCTAGGTTCAAACCCTGTGTTCTCCATGTCCTAGCTACCTCCGTCCACTATGCACACACTTCAAAGTGATAAGGTTGCAAGGGCCGAGTTAGCATACTTTGGACATTCCATCCTTTGGGCAAATCCCTTCTCCATTGTGTAGCAGTCAGACCCTGAGCTGTCCTTTACAGTCATAGTTCACCACAGAACCAGGAATGCCTCTACTGGTATATCAAGTCCATGCTGAAGAGTCTAGGGAACATAGACATCATGAGGCACACTGCAGTTTTTATGAACATACTTGGCTAAGGACATCTGGAGGAAGAATGAGCTCTTTTCTGTTGCAGTCTGCTCATATGTGCCTCTTAAAGGTGCTTGGAGGTAGCCAGGCGGTGGTGGCGCACGCCTTTAATCCCAGCACTCAGGAGGCAGAGGCAGGCGGATCTCTGTGAGTTCGAGGCCAGGCTGGACCGACAGCCTCGAAAACAATACAGAGAAGCCCTGTCTCGAAAAACCAAAAAAAAAAAAGGGTGCTTGGAGGTGACCAGGTCTACCTTCTGGAGAAAAGCTGATTAGGGGGCCAAGTAGTCTCATCAACAGCCCCATCAAGCACAGAACTGCTGTGCTCCTTCCTTGTCTTAGCTGAGGGTTCCAAACAGTTGAAAACGACAACCTGGCAGGCCATCTCCATGGTGAATTTTTTCCTGCATTGATTTCTGTTTCCAACCTAGCCAGAAATCAGTTTGTCCTATTTAGAAGTAGAACCCCTCTCTACTGAAGTAGAATAGTTCATCCTGTTCACAAACTTGACCTAATTTCCATCACAGCCTGTCCCCACATCTACCTCCTGAGTCAGCTCCTGGCCCTAGGCACTGTGTGTTCTCGCCTACCTCTCTGTACATACTTTTTTTTCTTGTCCAGATGTATGGGGGTAACCTCATCCTTCTGTATAGTTCCTTTTTAGTCCGCTAGTATGCTACTTTGGATGACAGAGGCACTTTATCTCTGGTGTCTCATGGTGGTACTAGCTGTTGAGAATGAGCAGAAAAGTGTGGTGGTCCACTCCCCCCACCCCCCACCCCCCCACCCCTGCAGGGCACTTTACTGCTGTTACTTATTCAGAAGACCACCAGACAAGCACTGCATATACTTTTTTGTTTTTTCGAGACAGGGTTTCTCTATGGCTTTGGAGGCTGTCCTGGAACTAGCTCTTGTAGACCAGACTGGTCTCGCGCTCACAGAGATCCACCTGCCTCTGCCTCTGGAGTGCTGGGATTAAAGGCGTGTGCCACCACCTCCTGGCGCATATGCAATTCTTTGAACTGGTTTTCTACTGTCTCAGTTCCTTCATGGGCATCCTTAATACTTTGTTCTCTACCTCTTTCCATATAACTAATTTTCTGGACATTTTGGTCTCTTCACCACCACTGCTCCTCAATTCTTTGTCCATCAATACCAGCTTCTGAAACCATGGTCCATGCCTATAATCCCATCACTCTGGAGGTGAATCAGAAGTTCAAGGCCAGCCTGGGTAACACGATACCAAAAAAAAATTAGGACAGTTACCCCACAAATCCTGACTATATCTTAGATCACTACCGTGCATAGCATATCACTGCTTTGTGTATATACCATTACAGAACCAGACTGATAGGAAACAGGGCTCAGCAAGCCAGGGTTGTGTCACTATTGGGCCCCCCTGTACCTAGCAGACCCAAGAGATAGAACAAGAGATAGTGCCTCTTGTGTTGGAACTATTTGCCATCCAATTACTCAACCATTATAGGTATTTGAGACATAGCAGATAAAACATGTCCTTTTTTTCTCAATATATATATTTTTTTGTTTTTTTCGAGACAGGGTTTCTCTGTGGCTTTGGAGGCTGTCCTGGAACTCGCTTGGTAGTCCAGGCTGGTCTCGAACTCACAGAGATGCACCTGCCTCTGCCTCCCGAGCGCTGGGATTAAAGGCGTGCACCACCAACGCCCGGCTTCTCAATATATTTTTATTTAAATAGAAACATGCTTGTTTCACATGTTGATCCCAGCTGCCTCTCCCAACCCTGCTCCCTTGCTCCTCTACCAGTCCCCCAACACCTCCCCCCCCCCAGCTCTCCCTCTCTCTTTTTTTTTTTTGGTTTTTAGAGACAGGGTTTCTCTGTATTGTTTTGGAGGCTGTTCTGAAGCTTGCTCTGTAGACCAGGCTGGCCTCGAACTCACAGAGATCCGCCTGCCTCTGCCTCCCGAGTGCTGGGATTAAAGGCATGCGCCACCTGGCCAATCTCTGTCTTAAGGCTTATACAACTTAATAAACACTATAAGTTAAAGTTGAAGGGCTGGAGAGATGCTCAGCAATTAGCAGCAATGGCTGCTCTTCCAGAGGACCTGGGTTTGGCTTTTAGCACCAGCATGCCTAATCACAACTGTAACTATGGTTCCAGGGGATCCAATGCCCTCTTCTGGTCTAGACACCAGGCACACACATGGTACACAGACATACCTGCAGGCAAAACACCTATATACAATCATTTTTAAAAAGCTAGTCTTAACATGGGCTAGGGCTGTAGCTATTGCTTGCCTGGAGTTCAGTCCTCAGTTCTGCATAAAGCTGGGTGTGGTGGTACACACCGGAAATTCCAAGCAGTGTCGAGATAGTTTGGGCCAACCTGGCCTACATGAGATCTTGTTTGAAACCTAGTTGGACTGGTAAGATGGCTCGTCAGGTAATCAAACTTGACAACCTGAGTTCAATCCTCAAGACCCACGCACGTGGTAGAAGGAAAGAGTCGAGTTCTGCGCGTTGTCTTGACCTTCGCTTACATGCCAAGACACAAGTGCATCCACACACAAATGAATATAGTCCATTCATTTAATGGGGGGATGCCATAGTGTACATGTGAAGGTCTCTCCATCATGTGGGTCCCAGGGATGGAATTCGGGTAATTACGTTTGGCAGCAGGTTCAGGCTAGAAAGTTGGCTTGGTGGTTAAGAGCATTGGCTGCTCTTCGAGAGGACCTGGGTTCAATTCCCAGCACACACATGGCAGCTCACAACTGTCTATAACTCCAGTTCCAGGGAATCTGATGCCCTAACACAGGCAAATGTGCACATAAAATAAAAAAAGCAAAATTTAAAAAGTTTGGCAGCAGGGCCGGGCGTTGGTGGCTCACACTTTTAATCCCAGCACTCGGGAGGCAGAGGCAGGCGGATTTCTGTGAGTTCGAGGCCAGCCTGGTCTACAAAGTGAGTTCCAGGACAGCCTCCAAAGCCACAGAGAAACCCTGTCTCGAAAAACCAAAAAAAGAAAGAAAAAAAAAGTTTGGCAGCAGGTATCTTTACCTACTGAGACATCCTCTCAGCCTTAGTTTTTCCTTTTTATTTTTATGTTTTTTGAGACAGTGTCTCCAAGTTAGCTCTGACTCTCCTGGAACTAGCTATGTAGGCCAGGTTAGCCTCAAATTCACAGAGACCCACCTGCCTCTGCATCTTGAGTGCTGGGATTAAAGGGGTGTACCACCATGCCTGGCCTCAAGTTTTTTTTCTTAATGTGTCCCATGTGTTTTAGAGTATGCCATGTGGACGTATGAGGAAACTAAAAGGGATCCTCACTATGCAACATTATGATGGGCTGAGGTTCTTCTTAGCTTCGTCTAGTTTTTTGTTTATTTGGTTTTTTTGGAGGGGGGCAGGGTTTCTTTGTGTAGCCTTGACTGACCTAGAACTAACTATAGATTAGGCTGGTCTTGAACACATAGAGATCCTCCTGCCTCTGCCTCTGGAGTGCCACCATGTCTGGCTAGTTTCATACTGTTTATACTATTGGTCAAAGAATAACTCTAGGGAATCACGGTCTGATGAGAAAAGCAGTCAAAATGTAAAATGAGACATTCGTATCCATTTGTGTTTATTTGCTTCATGGATTTACCAAGAATGACATTCTCTGGATCTGGAGATACAGGCAGTTGTGAACCACTTGATGAGGGTGCTGACAACCAAACTCAGGTCTTCTGGATGAGCAGCAAGTGCTTGTAACCACTGAGCCATTTCTCCAGCCCCAGTCCCATTAATTTATTTTTAATTGTTTAAAATTTGATTAATGAGCTGGGCATTGTGGTGCAAATGGGCTGGAGATGGTGTTCAGTTGGCAGAGTGCAAAGAAAACCAGGTGTGGTAGCATATGCCTGTAATCCCAGCTTTTGGATGGTGGAAGCTGGAAGACTCCAGACTTCAAGGTCATTCTTGACTACGTAGTGAATCCATGGTCAACTTGGGCTACAAACGACTCTGAAAACAAAACAGTAACAAAGTGTTGATCGAGACTTGGTATTAGCTCAGCAGTGTAGTACAAACAAGGTTGGGAATGAATTTTAACGTTGCAAAAAAAAAACCCACAAACGTCTAAAATTTTAAAACCACACGTTTGAAAGGCATAGTGCCAAGTGGGGATCTGGAATAACAGGATTGCAACAGGAAGAAACGAGGAGTGTGGACATGGGGCAAAAGTATTCTAGGCAAAGAGTACAGCAAGTAAGTTCCAGAGGCTCAACTGTGCCTGCTATATTCAAGAACAACTAGGTTTGTTCCTGTTGTGAGAGGAAGGGTAGGAGATTAAGTCAGTTAAGTGACAGAAATGATGTCTATCCTAGCAGTAAGGAGTTTAATGGCTGAGGAAGCTCTTGCCAATAATAACCTTGCTTGAAAATCCTAACTGGAGTGGGGCGTTGGTGGTGCACGCCTTTAACCCCCCCAAAAAAATCCTAACTGGGAAGGGAGGAGGAAAGGCAGAAAGGTCCACCAAGGGAAGCCCAGCAGAGGCAAGGAAGTTCCTGTGTCCAGTGTAAGGAAGTCTCAGAAGGCCTGCGGAAATGTTTGGGATAGATATGGGGAATCATATGACGTTCTAGGGAAAGGAATGAGAGGTTAAGTATGTGCCTGACAATGTTGGCCGTGTAACAGCCTAGTTAAGTACATAAGACTGTCAGTGGCAGGCAAGATGAGGTAATTGAAAGGTGTCAAGAACCCCAGTTAGGGGAGCATGTAAGCGAATGTTAGGGTGAGGAGGCCAGAAGCTCCACCCAAGCCAAAGTTCCAAACACTGTTTGGAATCTGTCCCTCTTAAAGGTCCGCCTTTCCTCTCAGCCTAGGTTCCACCACACCAAGAAGCTACAGAGCATAGGAAAGGTTAAGGGAGGGACCCATCTGATTGAGTGCTCTTTGAACCAATTATATTACGGGATATTCAGAGACATTCTGAGAGGCGCTGAGAACAAAAAGGCGAGCTCGAAAGCCAATAAAAACCGTGCAAAGGAGGAGGCAAGCCGAGGGAAAAGTGATATCACGCCTCTTCAGTTTTGCCACGCCCTTCATTCTTGCTAGGCCTCACCACAGGGAGCGAGTCCTATTGGCTGAGCGACAGATTTCAAAGGGCGGGGCTACATACGTTTCACAGTGGGGAAATGAGCTAGAGGCGGAGGGAGGGTTGCAGGGCGGGGCCAGATTGTCCTATCTACGGTGGGAAAGGCCAATGGTAATCCAGGACACCTCGCTTAGAAAGTCATCTCAAGCCTTTACATTCTTGTTTCCCGAGGCGCCACAAAGGATTAGAACTGCTTGGCTCACCTGTTCTTTTCCTCCTTGCAAAAGTCCCGTTTGCCACCATGGGGATGTACCAAGTGAGACTGTAGGGGAAGCAAGAGTGAAGTGGTACGCTGGGCTACTGGCTGCTCCTCACCTCGATGCTATTAAAATTCTGGCAAGGTCAAAACTGAGTATTAACCCACATCTACATCCCCCTGGCGCCGTTCCGGGGCCAACGCCACATTCCCTGGTGGGCACGCAATGGCCGCACCCCCTTCCGCAGCAGACAGGTCTTTAGGTCCAAGCAGTCCGAGGTGAGTCTCCTCCTTCCTCCTTTCCAGCGCGTGCGTGCGCATGCGCGGAGCGCGGCGCGCGCGGCTGTTGGGCCGCTGGCTGTGGGGCCCTGGGATCCGCTGCGTCTCCGCGAGCAGTCCGCTTTGAGCCGCGAGCCGCCGTGAACACCCGGATTCCAGCGGGCACTTGCGAGCACGGGGGCAGCGGCCAAGCTCATGGCCGGCTGAGCGGGACGCCGCCTCCGCCTCAGCCGCCGCCGCCGCCGCCGCCTCTTCCTCCTCAGCCGGCGGCGGCCCGGGCCCAGCAGCCATGGCCGAAGACTACTGGGACGGGCGCCTGCGGCGAACTGGAGGAAAAGGAGGTCGTGCGGCCTCACCCCGGGCCGCCGCCCCAGGCGCCGCCGCGCCGGCCCCGCGGCTCTGAGGTTACTCGCGCGCCCCCTCCGGTGAGCGTGCCCTCGATACTTAGGGTGGGGGCTGCTTTTTCTTGAACCAACCCAAAACTAGGCGGTGCTAGGACGAGAGTTAGGGGGTTCTGGGCTGCTTGGCTGTCAGGTGCCCCCTCCCCTTCGAGTTTCCCAGAATGCACCGGGGGGTCATTGGGGCCTCCCTGACCTTGGCCCCGCCCTGGGCTCCTGTCCTGGGAGCTGAGGATGGGAAATGGTGTGGATGCTAAGGAGGCGAAGGGTGATTAAAGGACTAGAGTTATGGGAATGGATTGCTAAATAGTGGTGAAAGACCCAAGGTTGCAGAGGGGATAGTAAAAAGCCTTAAGGACTGTGTAAGACTTCAGGCCCAGTGGGTGCTTATGGAAAGGGGTTGCAGGGCTACGAGAAACATGGAGATGTATACAGGAGGATTGCTTGTAAGGGCAGTTCCAGAACATGCAAGTGGAGGGTAGGGTTGCAGAGAAGCCTAGTGTAAATGGAGAAACGGTGGTAGAAGTACCAGAAAGTGTGCCAATAGATTCAGGGTTCCGAGGCCCAGTATGTGGTGATGAGGGTCAGGGTCGTGTTAATACTGTGTTTGTCCACGGGTTAGGGGTGGCAGCTTTTCTGGATCTAGGAGTGCTCATGGACATAGTAGAAGGATTCAAATGTTGAGTGTGGCCTGATGAGGGAGGATCATGGCGGGAAGGGTCTATAGATATTGTAATAAAGATCTAGGTAGTGTGGAGTCTAGTATACGCACGCAGAACTGTTGAAGTACCTGAGGGTGATGGGGCAGGATGGTGGGAGGCCTGTCCTACTGGGTACCAGAAGTGTGCATACATGTGTATGGGAGGGTGGCCGTAAATGAAGTATAAAGAGCGAGACTCAAGGTGAAGTGAGGAAACAGAGAATGTGAGCTTCCAGAAAGGGTGGGGTGATGCTCTATATGAAGTTCTAGAGTAGTGGCTCAATCTGTGGATCACGACCCCTTTGGGGGTCACATCAGATAGCTTGCGTATCAGATATTTGCATTATGATCCACAACAGTCTCAGAATTACAGCTATGAAGTAGCAACAAAAATAATTTGAGGTTGAGGGTCACAACAATAGGAAGGTTGAGAACCGCTGTGGTTCTAAACCACAGACACTTAAATGTATGCTGTTGGGGGCAAAGAGCGTGAAGTAAAATATGCTGATGAACATCAGAACACTAAATACTATGTTCTTCCTGTCCATGGGCCACTGAAGTGGGTTGATTCAGGGAGTGCTACAGGGATAAAGTTTGGGGGATGGGAATCTAGTGTGTAGTGGAGGGAATAGAGCTATGAAGGAAGTCAGTTGTGAACCAAAGGGTTAATAGTGGGAGTGGGGCTGAAGCAGAGGGAATAGGGAGTAGGTAATGGTGTAAGTGTGCCAAAGCGAAGTGTAGCCATGAAGAACTCGTGTATGTTAATGGGGGCCACGGTTGGGTAGAGAAGCTGTGTGTACTCATGAGGGTCAGTCTGATACAGAACAGTGTGTTTGTCCCTGGAGAATAGGGCTTCAAGGGGTGCTAATAGGGAGTCAGGACTGGGTGAGGCGTCGAGATAGAGTGAAAGGACAGTGTAGTGCAAGCTCAGGACAGAGTGTGTGTTGTTAATGGTGGTCATGACTGTGACGGTAAGGGTAAGAGACGGTGGCGCACGCCTTTAGTCCCAGCACTCAGGAGGCAGAGGCAGGCAGATCTCTGTGAGTTCGAGGCCAGCCTGGTCTACAGAGTGAGTTCGAGGCCAGCCTCCATAATCACAGAGAAACCTTGTCTCGAAAAACCAATAAAAGAATGTACATACTGCTTTTCTAGAAGACCTGAGTTCAGATCCCAGCATGCACATGAAGAGGCTCACAACTGTGAAGGGGCCTGAGTGTGAACAAAACTGGTCAGGAATTGTACAAGGTTCACTATGTACTAATGTGGCTCAGAGCATTGTGACGGTCCAGGGAATGCTAATTTGGGTCAGCTGTGGAACACCTTGAGTGCATGTTAATGAGAATCAGAATCCAGAGGGGACACTGTTACTGGGGTAGGGCAGTGCTACAGAGAAGCTAACAAGCACCTAGACTAGAAAGGGACTGAAAATGTGGTGGTGACAGGAGTTGCTTAAACAGAGTTTTGAGTGCTGAAGGGAGTGATAGGTAACAAGAGAAATTTCGAGTGTTAGGAGGAGTGAAGATGTAGTGAGGACCTTCTTGAGGGTCTAGTTTCTGCTTATAGAGGTTAGGCCAGAATGACAACTGTATGCTCAGTGCTTGGAGTTGGTGTGAGTGCCCTTGGTATGAGAGTAGCCTGGGGGTGGGCAAGTGTGTCTTGGGGGGATTTTCAAGAGTAACAAATACCATATAGTTGTGGAATTCTACCTCCTGATTGTTGCTTCTTCACTTACTCTGAAGCTTAGGCTTCAGAGTTTAAATATGGCATTTAAGTTTTGCTGCTCGCAGAGGCAGGCAGATCTCTGTGAGTTCGAGGCCAGCCTGGTCTACAGAGCTAGCTCCAGGACAGCCTCCAAAGCCACAGAGAAACCCTGTCTGGAAAAACCAAAAAAAAAAAGTTTTGCTGCTCAGAAATGTTTAAGTGTATCTGTTTCTAGGAGTTTGCCCCCCTCAAAGTGTTGTAAAATACTCTGTCTTCTTAAAATCCCCCAAAAGATGAATTTTGGAAAATGTCCAATCATTGAGGGTTCCAGTTAGAGGTCATACATTAATCCATAGCTCCCTCTCTGTCCATTTTCCTACTCCCTTCCCTTATTCCTGTCACCACATACAAAATTACTATTTTGGTATGGTTTTGTTTTTGTTTTTTTTTCTAGATGTATTGTTTTGGAGGCTATCCTGGAGCTCGCTCTGTAGACCAGGCTGACCTCGAACCCATAGCGATCCGCCTGCCTCTGCCTCCCGAGTGCTGGGATTAAAGGCGTGCGCCACCAATGCCAGGCTGAGTATGAATGTCATGTGGAGACAAAAGGAAGTCTTCTGAGCTGGCCACTTTCTATACCTTAGATCCAGTGTTCAGCCTCCAAGGTCAGGATTTTATGGTATCATTCTGGGTTCTTTATGGGTGGATCTTGCTCATATCTATCTGAGGTTTCTTCTGCTAGGCCGACTCTGTCCCCTTGTAGAGGTGTTAGGCAGAAGTGAGAGTGGGAACTGTTGGGGTAAGCACTTTGTTTCAAGGTAACAAATGAACCATTTCTCTTCTTGAATTGGTCCCTGGCCTTACCCTCAACCTCCTATCTAGCTCTACTTCCTTTGGGCCCTGGGCCATCTCAAGTCCTGCTGTGAGTACAGATGGTTCCTGAGCCAGGTCTTTCCCCCTCCTTGCTGGCCCAGAGCCCAGGAGGAAGCAAAAGAATGCCTACCTAAACCTTTTGGAGACCCTATTCCCTCCAGCAGCCCATCTAGGTCATCTTCCTGTCAATTCTAGCATCCCTGGGTGTCTTCTTTTTTTTTTTTTGGTTTTTTTTTGTTTTTGTTTTTTCGAGACAGGGTTTCTCTGTGGTTTTGGAGGCTGTCCTGGAACTCACTTTGTAGACCAGGCTGGCCTCGAACTCACAGAGATCCGCCTGCCTCTGCCTCCCGAGTGCTGGGATTAAAGGCGTGCGCCACCACCGCCCGGCTCCCTGGGTGTCTTCTTTGGGGTAGTCTGTACGTATCTGGGACTTACCTCAATAAACGTTGGTCCTAGGCTCTCAGCCTTTTGACTTACTGCTTCTGTATGTAGCTGTTGAGCTTCTACTCAGTGTCAGTCACTATTCCAGGTTCTTAGGATGTAGCTGTGGGCCTCAACATATAGAAATTACCCCCCAGTGGAACAGATCTTCTAGTTGCAGCCATGAGAACACAGACAGTGAAAAGAAAAGAAACCAATAAATAGATGGTATTATTTCTAAGGTGGTGATGAGAACTAGGGGACACATTGGCAAGGCAAGGGAGCTCAAGATGGCTGAGACTTTAAATAAGGTAACTTATGGAAACCTCATGAAAAAGGTGATATTTGTACAATGGGCTGGAGAGGATGGGGAGTGAGATGTTTTACAGTCTGTGAAACAACCAGTGTACAGATCCTGAGGTAGAAACTGTTGGGTGTGGTGCAGAACAGCAACTAGAAATGATCAAGGAAGAGGTAAGGCCAGAGAAGTGATAGAGTGAATGAGGTATGTAAGACATAAGGGCCACAGTCAGGACTGTAGGTTTATTTGAGATGATAAGGAAGCTGTGGTATATTCTCTAGGAGAAAAGAAATATGACTTGGCTTTGTAAAAACTTGGGTTTGGACCCTGTGGATCCTAACCCTCTTGAGCCAGTTTAGCAGCTCAGGATAGCTGGTGTGTGCTGAGACATAACCCCCCCAACGCCATCCAATGGTTGGGCCTCAGCAGCCCTCCCCCCATCTGGATAGAGAAGTGGGGTGGTCCATTAATCAC